TGAGCCACTGAGAGATAATTGCTCCTTCAGGACACTGTTAACTGACACCAGTGTCTCCTGGATGACATTCAGTCAAGCCCCTGTCAGGTTCAATATAACCAAGGGCTATATGCACAGCCAGAGATTGAACCTAATGACTCCTGAGTCCACCAACTTCAGATCGAGCTATGATCCAAACTGCAAAGCACAGGAAACAAATTGCATATTCTGACAGTTTCTTCAAAGCCACAGGGCTTGAGACACCAGAGATTTTGTTAAAGATGCTTGTTGTCTTCTGTTTTCTTCTTCTCACATTGGTCCCACAGCTACGCAGCAAAAAAGAAGATATGCTCCGTTACAAAAAGCACTTATAAAATGCAATACTAAAGCAAATTACACAATCTTGCTTGGCTTCAGCTCAGTCTCCTCCAGTCACAGCATTTTGAACTGATGCAGCAGGGACATCCTTTAGTGCCAAGGGCAAGTGTGTGTGACTTCTAAGACACAGGAAAGGTCTGTACTGCTACTGTGTGACGTGATGCAAAGGGACGGCCTGTACTCAGGGTACATGCTGTGTCCTCTTCCATGCTGCCAGTGGCTTTGACCTCAACAGATGACAATGGGCAGCCACAGTGGGCGACTAGAAAGTGCTGCACATGTCAGTTTTCCACTTGCTAAAGGACTAAAGACTGACTACATTTAAGGTGGAGCAAATAGATCACTTTATTTTAATAAGGTTTATTAAGGTGGCTGGTTAAAAATAAAATTGTTATTATGCATTGTTTTTGTCTTTTTGGTTTACTAATGAAAAGAGTGTTCACTCCTCATTTCATAGAAACCTATAAATATGTTATATATATATAAAATTTTAAAGTGCTTTAATTCCACAGCTATTCACAGAGGGGGTTCGTGACTTTCACATGGTTGATGGTAGGTAGCAGTGGCCACAGTGACTCCAGAAATGCTCGCAAAAGTGTGGGACGGGTTTGACTACCACATGGACATATATCCAGAGGGGGACATATTGACCACTTGTAATAAAATAAATAAATAAATTTTTGTTATATAGGGTGTATTAAAAGAGAACCACACAATTTCAAAAGGGTAATTCAATTCAGTTTTTTCAATTCAATTTTATTTATATAGCGCCAATCATAACAACAGTCGCCTCAAGGTGCTTTATATTGTAAGGTAGACCCTACAATAATACATACAGAGAAAAATCCAACAATCAAATGACCCTCTATGAGCAAGCACTTTGGCGACAGTGGGAAGGAAAAACTCCCTTTTAGCAGGAAGAAACCTCTGGGAGAACCAGGCTCAGGGAGGGGCGGTAAGTTAAGTGTAACCTTACAGTGGTGGACAATTAGAGGTCAGGAGGCAATTAAATTAATCAGTGTAACACTCCAGACACAAGTGATCATCCAATTAAATTCCTCTGTCTCATTCCACCTTCACACTGGAGTCTCATTTAACCTATTAAGCCCCAAGCTTAACTGATCTCCTGCCTTTGCCCCCCGTATCAGGGGGCGCTGGGGCTTAAGGGGTTAAAACCAACTCTTACCTAAATTAACTAAATATTGTCCTTAAAAGTGATTATTTATCCACAGTGACTTACCATCCACGCTCCACATGCACTTTCAGTTGGCTGTCAGCACACAAATAATTCATCACTCTCTTTCAAACTTAACCACACCTAATGTGTGTGAAAGTGCCAACCGGCTGCGATGTTACCTTATTTAAATTCCGACAGGCAGCTCTGACGCATTGCCACATGCTGCCATACAGACACTGTCCTCTCTCCACTTTGCCTGCTTAAGTAGCATCTGGATATCAACAGCCGCTCTTACTGCCTGCACCGTTTCCTCACTGCTGCGTTCACATGTTTTCCCAGCCTGATCTCTGCGGTGTTTCTGAGACACAAACTGCTTCTGTCATCAGGCGCCGAAATCCAGCTGGATTCTGCTCTGGCAGTGTCACTCTGCCTTTTCTTATCTCTCTCACTGGCAACAACAATAAGAGAAGAAAAGCACAATGCAGGGGCTTCTGCTAACAATGTGTCACAATCGATGTCTTTCAAAATGACACGCTGATGGTTTGTTTGTCATCAAAAGTCAGCGCGGTTGATGCGCAGAGTATTGTGACGTGGAAAATTATGATTTTTTTTTTTTTAAATCCCTCACTGTTTGTGCACAATCAAAAGTTTTAGCCCAGCAGTTATGAGAAGCTGACAAACCCAAGCACTTATTTGAGACAAGCCGCCACTTAAAACTGTCATTTTGTGCTCGAGCTGAGAAACAAAATGCTTTTAAAGCAACCAGAGACAATCATGAAAGCCCAAATCCAACAGATTTATGTTCGGGCATTCAATAATTTATGTAGAACATGTCCAACAGAGCAGAAGAAACTAAGAACATCTTGCTGGCTGTGAAATTAATCAGTCATGTTTAATGAAAGCTGGCACTAAGTAGGAATTTTGGATGAAGCATAACCAGCATGCTACCATTTATTGCAGTGGGAAGCTCACAGGCAAAGTAGCAGAGAGGAGGGAGCGTTCAAGACGGCGCTTGACACATTTGTGTTACAGCAGGGCTGCAGGCTGCAAGGCAGTCTGTCACTGATGGTGTGACAAGGTTTGCTGCTCTGACCCCTCACTCAGCACTCAAAACCTCCTGTACTTCGCACTGTAGTTGTCCTTAAGCAACATTGCATATTGAATATGGTCAAAAAAACTTTTTGAAAAACCAATAACTGAGAATTATGATGTAAATTCAGCTCAATTATTAAAGATGTGTTTGTTGCATATTCATTTATCTTCGTCGAATGATAATTGGTCGACCTCTGTGGATGAAACTCGCTGAAAAATTGGTTTCATTTTTATATTTTTTAAGTAGCTGTATAATCTTATTAGACAGCTGAAGTGTGTTCAACAGAAAAACTAACCTAGACCTTTAATTAGATCTTAGTAGGATTAAATCTTAGTATAGTCCTCAGTTCTACCTGCAACAAATGAATACCATGCTACTTTTAACTAAGATAGTCATAGCCAGAGGCAATTTGATTGCTGTTGCCAGTCTGCCCTTATCCCCAACCTATTTTCACTTTTTTGAACACCTTGATTGATTTTTTTTCCCATTAAGCACCAAAGGATGAACTTGGACCATAGGATGAGCACTGATTAGCATCTCAAGGTCACTGTGACCTCCCAAAACGCATTGTGACTGTAACTCAAGAATTAATGTGCTACTTATGACAAGATTTCATGAAAATATCTAACAGGATACAACAATGAAGTGAGGAGATTTTACAAGCAAAGGGTCAAAGGTCAACTTTCTGTGTTATTATAGTGTCCCTACAAACACGGGCATTATTCAGCTCCATAACTCAGGAACAGACTGGGACTATGCTTAACTTTGATTAGGTGTTTCAGTAATCTGTATTGTAATCTCTATAAAATCCCTGCAGTTTTCACTACTGATTGATGGCCGAATGTTCATCCTGATTTTACAAAGTACAAAGTTGCAGTATTGATTTATCAGCGGATTTATTTGTTTATTATCTATAACTACATATATAAAAGTGATGAGATCATAGTTTACGAACTGTGTAGGAACCTACTTTACAAATTAACAAATAGCTTACCTTATTTTTATTTATTTTTTTGGAATATTTTCCATTAAAATAAAGATTGCATTACAATTACAATTGCATTGTAGTATGTTACTAATAATACACTGTTATGAATATGCCTGTGATAGCAGAGAACATCTGATAGATATATAGGAATCAAAATACCTCATCATTTGTTTTACCTTCTTAGTGCCAGGTTGGACTCTCTTTTGCCTTCAGAGCTACCTAAATTCTTTGTGTCACAGATCCAACAAGGTGCCGGACACATTCCTCTGAGATTTTAGTCCATGTTGACATGATAGCATCACACAGTTCCTGTAGATTTAATTCAGCTGCACATCCACAATGTGAATCTCCTGTTTCACACCCTAAAAGTGCTTTACTGTTATAATAAAAGGTCATTTACGTTACCATTGCCATCCTAACAGCTCAAAGCAGTGTAGCTATTCTCCTCTGAAGCAAACTTCCCAGAGAACTGCAGCTCACTAGGTAGCTTCTCATTTTCACACCATTCTCTATAAAACCCAAGAGATATTTGCTGGAAAAAGCCCAACAGATCAGCAGTTTATAAAATACTCAGAGCAGCAGGTTTGGCACCAACCAAGTCGCTTAAATCACCCTTATTCTCCAATCAGATGCTCATTTTGAACTTCAGCAGGTTGTCTTGACTACATGCACTGAGTTGCTGCCATGTGATTGGCTGATTACAGATTTGCATTTATGCAAAGTTAAGCAGGTGTACCTAATGAAGTGGTAGGTGAGTGTAGATGGCTGTAAAACGCAGCTAGGTGGAAAACCTGTAAAGCTCTTATGCTAGCGTTCTCAATTAATCTATCAATTATTGTACATATTACTAGATTAAGCGAATCCAATGGGGAAAATGCCGAAAAGAAAGAGTCCTAAGATCCCAAAGTGAATGTTTCAGAGTTTCAAACAGTATAAAGCTTTAATATATTTAACTAAAAAACAAGAACAGCAGCTATTTAGATTTTAGTTTAACTTGTTTAAACTGGTAATGAAGAAATACTGGCTCTAAGTAGCCATTTATGTTGGTATGGGGCTTCTGGCAGCATTAGCTCCATATCACACAGTAAAAGTGACAGGACTGTGCTTGTGTTTCTTATTATGTGACAGCTCAGAGTCAACAGCATAATAAAACAGCTTGTAACTGTACAGCTATGGCGCTTAGATTTGGCAGAAGGACAAACAAAAGCGCCCGAGCAATAAAACAACAAGTCCACTAGCTTGCTGCGAGCAGCCAGAGGCACACACTGCCCTCCTTTCATACTCCCAATCTGACAGATGATGCTGCCGCTACGCCACATGAAGAAAAAAAAAAGAATCTTTGCAAAACTGTAACCGTTTCCAAACATTTGTATCATCTCACTCACTTTCGTGTTTTGAAGTTCCCCATGTGTGCCGCGGAACTCCCGGGCTCTTGATAATCGCTCTGCCGGCAGATTTCAGGGCATCCATCACGAGGTGTGTCTGCTCTCCGGCAGGTGGATTCCCCAGTCACCGGACCACAGGGAGGAAAAGACGGAACAGCCTGCGCTCGATGGCGGATACGCCGGAAAGGAAAAAGGCGAGGGAGATAGGACACAGATTCAAGTTCCAGCCCCGAGCCTCTCTTCCTCGTTCTCTCTCTCTCTGTCTTTACCTCTCTCTCTCTTTCCCAAGTGATAATGTGAGCGGCTGAGGGCACACACGAGTCCACTGCACCGTTTCCAAAGTTGAGGGCGTGTCCTTCTAACCTTCACGAGCTTCCTTCGGTGAGAGGGAGTGACCTTAATGAAAAAAGTCATTACAGTCTAATGTGTGTACCGAGGACTTAAACACACTAATGAGTTTATGCCTAATGAGCTTACAACTGCACTTTCTGTCTCATAGGATTTCTTGCGGGTTATTGATCAGTGGTGGGCCCATTGTTACCATGGTTTCTTTTTCTCTTAGTTTTATTTTTTTTAATTATCAAATAAAGTCATTTAGCCCTTTACCATGTTTAATATTTTAACCTTGACTAGAAACAACCCTACAGTTTTATTTAAGGGTGGTGATAAAATCATTAGCTACTGCTGACCATTTTCTGCCTTCTGTTTTCTTTAATGTTTTTTCCACATGTCCGTCTATGTTTCTTGTTAATAATAAACAAAGTAACAAAAGTAGTCAAAAGTCGAAATAATAAATAATTTGTTGGTATTCTGGCGCCATCTTTCGATTGTAGCTCGAAATTGCAATTTTCTTGTAATAACTGCTGTGACATCTTCACCTACTCGACAACATTTAGTAAGATTGTAAACAGATTAAAATGTCACTAAAATTTAAATGGCACGGAGAAAGTGCTTTAGTTTTAAAAGATCTCAAGACAAAAGGATAAAAATTCTGCACTCTAAATGTAAAATGAAACCGAAATATATAAAATTAAAGGTTTTTTTATTTAATAAAACTAAACGTATACCAACCACGTATATTTTATTTAACCAGATTCCATTAAATTTAACACTTTACTTACTCTTACACCTGTAATTTAATTAGTTAAAGTCAGCATATTGTGCATTTTTTAATGCAAGGGGCTAAAATCCACTGGTGTACCTTTAACATAAGCAAATATCTGTCTTTGATGTGTTCTGCCCAGGTTTCATATATTTCCCAATACCAAATAACAATCATAACATTTACAAACATTTGTTTCATATGTGATTATGCAATATTAAGACACAATGGTCTACAGTTGTGGTCAGAAGTTTATATGTGCAGATCATCGGCATGAAGGTCATGCTTGTCATGCTAATTTGGAGAATTTAATGATTTCTTTAAACAGCATATATCTTAAATGGCTATAAAAACAAGAACTGGGTACACAAGTTTGAATTGCTTTCTCTTTTCTCTAAGAGAAAGAAGATTTTCTGTAATTCACACAGGGTCAAAAGTATACATACAGCTTTGTATACTTTGACCACATATTTTTGGTGGTCATCAGCAAAAGTCTAGCTGGATATTTGATGACTCTTCTTGGCACAATTTCATTTAAATTGTCTGGTTTCCTACCATGGACCAAGCTTTTAAGTGTGGTGGACACATTTTCAACAGGGCTGAAAGTCGAGGTTTTCAAAAGGCCATTCCAGAAGCCTTCCAGTTAGCCTGCTTTGTCCATTCAAAAAAACAATTCTGATGTGTGTATGGATCATTGTTCTATTGAAGCACTCAACTGTATCCGAGTTTTAACTGCTTAGCTGTTAATGTGAGGTGATGTTGAAGACTTTGAAAGTAGTCCCCCTTCCTAATTATTCCATCCACTGTACAATGGATCAGTACCACTAATAGCAAAACAACCCCAGATGATGCTACCAGCACCATGCTTGACAGTTGGTGCATAGTTCTTAGGTTTGAAAGCCTCACCTTTACGCCTCAAACATACTTCTGGTCATTGTGGCCAAATAGTTCAGTCTTTGTCTTGTCTGATCACAGAAGCTCTTTCCGGAAGGCTTGTTCATTTCATTTGAGCTTTAAAGTATTGGTTTTGGAGCAGGGGCTTCTTTCTTGATGAGCACTTTCTCAGCTCATAATGATGTAAAGCTTGCTTTACAATGGACAGTGACGCCAATGTTCCAGCAGTTTCCAGTTCATGGCACATTTAAGCCTTTGTGGTTCTTGGATTGTTTCTCACTAACCTAACCAATTTCCTCTCATCTGAGGGTGGCAGTTTGGGTCTTCTTCGATACTTTGGCAAAGTGTTGATGGGTCCAAATAATTTGTACTTACAAACAATAGTTTGAACTGATGATCTTACAATTTGCAGTTGTTTTGAAATGGCTCCAAGAGACCTTCATGACTTGTGTAAATATTCATTTTTCTGAGTTTTATTCAAACAAACTCTTTTTGTGCTGGCAAAGAGAAACAAAGACTAATGGGGCCGAATTAGGCCTCATTAGGCCTTGTCAAGTTAAAAGACACAGAAGAACCTTTACCACCACAAAAATTAAGTGAGTGTATGTACATATTTGAGCCAGTATGCATACTTTTAACCCCGTGTGAATTACACCCAATTCTTTTTTTCTTTTTTTTTAAAAGTCATTAAAGATGTATGCTGTACAACAGTTCAAAGAAATAATTTAAAGCCACCACATTACCCTAACATCCATGCCCATGGATGAGTTAATGTAATCTTCTGACCACAACTACAAGTACTTGTACCAAAGAAAAATAATTTTTGAGACATAGAGAACATGAAATTTGTTGTTTTTTTCCTTCATGGTGAAATATTTATTTAAATTCTCTCCACAACCCAGCACAGATTACAACTTCTCATTTTAAGTCTAAGCTCATCTCACAAGTATGTCACACTCAGGAAGCTAAGCAGTGCGTGTACTGTATAGTCACAGATTTCTCACAAATCATCTAGAACGAGTTATTACGGTTTAGCCTGCGGTGGCATGCTTGCTGTTGTAGTAATTTCGGTGCTCTGTGGTCATTTGAGAGAGTCTTTAGTTTATATTTAATGCCCTGAGCAGCACACACTACTGCAACTACACTGACTGCTTTGCATGTGATCATGTGAGTATGTGCCAATCTGCACGTGTTAATGTGTTGCTATTCTGGATACAGCAAGTTGGAGAACCATGCAGCGTTTTAAAATTCAAGAAGGTTGTGTCGCTCCCACGTCGTCCTGCATCAGAGTGAGCATTTTTACAAACTAAAGAATCATCTCCCTCTTCAGTTTAAAAAAAGAAACAGCTTCTTGAAAGCTGAAAGCTGCACTGAAACAATGCAAAAGAAAACCCTCCGACCCCGCCTCCACCTGTTTTCATGGAAGACTGGATCTGTGATAAATCGTAATTCTTGGTATTTAGAAGCCCTCTAGTCACTGGCACATTGTCACAGAGCACCCCTGAATCCAATAAAAAATAGCGGTTCGAGGCTTTAGTTTCAAATTTAATCTTCCACTAGACTTCTTTGACAGAAGCGTAATCGAACAGTGCAGCATGCATCATCTGTTTAAGGTTGCCCAATTCATGTGTGAACACTGCATCATAAGATGCTTGAAATACCCATTTAGATTAAAACAAAAGAAAAAATCATCCTGTTTTGCAGCATGTTTTGGGAAAATGTTTACATCAAGTCACTGACAGGACATTTGTTAGAGTCTTAGTCCCCCATAAAACAATTCATGCTTCTGGTGGTCTCTGAATTTGTAAAGGGTGAGGAAGGCAAGATCGCTGAAAGAGCAGAGCCAGATGAAGGGGAGGACTTCATGAAATAGACTTAAATGAGAGGGAGAGAAAGGTAGTTTCTTTTAGAAAGGACAACATAGGAAAAAAAAACAGACTGGACTAGTCGGCTAACATGCTCTCCTGTCTGCTTTACAGTATATAGCCCTCCTGGGTTTTTTAAAATATCATAGCCTCATGCTTTTTGTCTCATACACACACTCAAACACACACTCTCATCTTTATTTCTAAACCCGCATCTTCCTCAGAGGGTGCAGCTACAAGGCATCTGGTTGGAGGGCCCATCTTGGAAGCAGAAGGTGACCTTTGCCAACTATTCTCAGGTCAATCCAATGTCAGGTGATGGATTAGTGTACATCCATAAAACCTGACGAAATCTTCAACCAAGCACAACACCTGCATTGAAGAACCTCATACACCGTCCGTTTCAAAGACTGGGAAAACCGTCCCTTCGTCTTCTCCCGTTTCCCCTCCTGGTTTCTCTCGTCCTTCCTGCTCCTCTCCTCCTCCTCTTCCTTCTCCCCCCTCTCGTCTCTCTTCTCGTTCTGAGGCACACGGGTAGTCTTGGGACTGGGGCTGCGGCTGTCCCAGTGACTCCGTTGACAAGCTGCGGCTAGACAGGATGCTACTTAGGCTGGACTGGCGGGCGCCCCTGGGGTGGGTCTCAATTTCAACGCGAACCTCAATATTCGTTCTTTCCCTGCGGTCACAATGAAGAAACACAGTGGAGTCATTATACAGTACCGTCCAAAAATATTGCCATTCCATAGTGCACTCCAGTCGATCCAAAAATCATTATTCAGCAGAAGACATCAAGCTCACAGAGCAAGTCATAAAGAGCTGTCATTGGTGATGAGACATAGTGGCACACAGAGTCCTGACCAAACATTATCGAATCAGTCTAGAAATGCATTTACAAGAAATACAAGCAAGTACTTGCACAAGTACTGTTTTAAAAGCAAAGACTGATATACAGAATACTGTGGTGGTTTGCTTCAGTTGTGTGTGCATTTGTCTATTTGGTTACTGCTCCATTAACTTTAAGGTGTATCTCCTGAACTCTAATAGCAATATGTAACAGCTGCTTTATCCCACTGACTAACAAGTGGTGGTAATGCACCAACAAATGCAGCAATGGCCCAGCCTCCGCTGCAGAAGAGGACTGCTTGCAAATAAACAGAGATGGGTGCTTTTCATTTTTCTGTTTTGTGCCTCCTCACCTCCTCTCTACTCCATCCACCTGCCGCTGACGTGAAAATGAATCTAAGCATGTTAAAGGAAGTCTGAATACCTAAAAGGGTCTCTCAAAGAGGGAGGAGTGAGGAGACAGGGTGTATCCTCTATGGAAGTCAGACTATAAGGACCACGGGGAAAGTTAGACTTAGCAAATATATGTTTGTAAGACTAACAAAAAATGTATATACACAGCTATTCTGGTGTCAAGATCCATGGAGTGTTGACCCAGAGTTTAGAGTTTTGTCAGTTCTTTATTC